TAAAAACATGCCTAAGCCACGACAAAGTATTCAAGGTAAATGTTTTTCGTCTTTGTTTTGTATTTTTTTACATTTGTAGCTACGAAATTGGCGTCACAAATTTTCGCGAAATTTGCGATGTATTTTTCACTGTTTAGTGCTTGAAATATTTGCTAAAATTGACTGGGAATACTTAGAGAGTTTTCATCGTAGAATGGCGTGGTTACATTTATTTGCTCTTTGACTAAAATGTTTAGCTGTAATATTGCTAAACATGCCGTTTTTGAGAATTTGGTTTTCAACTAGGTTGAGGCATCCAACCACGCCATCAATCCCAGTAAAAACATTAGGTCACGTCAGCTAGTTTCATATCCATTTATTTTATTATCCATGATGGAACTTAGGCCCTCTGACGAGAATCGAACCTGTGGTCCTAAGAATCATATGCAGCGCTCTAACCAACTGAGCTACAGAGTCCAGTTGTTGAGCTCTAACCACAAGATCTTGTATATTCTTGGGTTTGACTACGGCATTGTGCAGTGAATCTGATGGGGGGGCGCAACCTCAAATATATTGATGCTTATGCTGTACTGAAGTGAGAAAATGATACGAAATTCCATGTATTTGCTACCAAACACAAGGCTAATACATAAAACGAACAATTGACTCACTCTGATAACTGTGTTTTGTTTTAGAGTTGATCCCCCGTCACTTTTGTGACGTCATATAAAACCCAAGAAAAATGCTGCGAAAAATGCAACTTTAGTCCGAACTTGCGGCCCTACAATGGACCTATTACCTAATAATCAAAATTTTGATCTCATCAAGTCTAGAAAAAAGTTTCATCACAGCTTGAAAGAGCATCACAAAATTAGTAATACTCCGACGTTTCGTTGCAAAATGCTGTAAAATGCAGATAATATAGCCCTGCGAAGTTTGCCGTTTTTCAGTCATTTTGTATTACGCACGGGAAATTGGTACCGCTTTACAACATTTTGCAACGAAACCTTGGAATATTACTAATTTTGTGATGCTCTTCAAAATTTTGTTCATTAGGTAGTAGGTTCATTCCGGTGCAGCACGAGTCTAGATGACAAAAACCTCCTGCAGGACGTAAAAAAATTTCTGCGAATGAAATATTTCGTTAAAAATTTCCTGGCAACGTTTTCCAGCACTGAGTTCTTCGTTCCGCAAAATCGCTGTTATTATTAATGCACCCGTATTTTCTACCGCACAAACTCTTCTGTATATATAATAATATACATATTACTAGACTGTGATTGGTTGATTTCAGTGCAGTTAATCTCAAACAGCAGTGCAAAATTCTGCATGTAACAAGAGTAAGTTGCATTCAAATGCATGGTAAATTTTCTCCCTTTTTCTACAGGATTTCCAAGTGTTGGCTTCAAAAATGTGAAACCCTTAACTCTTTCATCCTTGGCTGGTATCTATAACCGTTCGTCTTGAAGAATAAAAATAAATTCCATGTCACTTATGCACAGAGACATATGCAACCATGAACTGAAATAGTAATAAACCTTGTTGTTGTGTTTTTGAACTTAAATTAAGAATTATTGTAGTTTGTAATACTTTGGTGTTACGTGTAAATATAACTTGTAAAATTAAAACGAGCGTCCATACACTGTCGTCATATATTGGTGATTTGCAAGACTAAAATATGGCGCCATGTTGGGGGAAAACCATAGGTTTCCCAAAAAGGTCTTTTATTTTTAAAAACATCCATAAAATTGCTTTGAAAGCAATGCTTATTCTCGCTTAATTCATTTACAATCATCTACACTAAAACCTATTATTCGTAGTGCATGCGCATATCACTGGCGAGATATATCAGCAACGCTATCTTTTCGGGAGACCTATGTACAATAGCTGCTAATGATATCCTAAGTTTTGTCAACGTTCCTCCAACATGACCAGCATGACGTCAGGTGCAAACCAAGAATTGTGCAGTTTTGTTTGCAAACTGAGCGCACTGGTTTACACGAAAGTAATGATATGTGAAAAAAAATCTTCATAATTGCTTAAAGGAAATTAAGAAATGATAAATATATCATATATATGTATCACATAACTTAATTAATGAAATGTCCAGTGAATATTGAGATGAAAATATTCCCACAAATCAATAGTCGTATACAATCCTTACCAGGAAGCCATGTCTTAGCAATAATTGAGTAATGAGCATCTGTTCGCAGGCTATATCTACGGTTTCTTAAAGCAAAGTTTAAAACTTGAAGTTTAGGCAAATTTTTCAATTCCGCCACCATGCACAATCAATACGGACTCAGAGTACAAGCTGGACTACTGGGGTGAACAGCACATGAATTGAAGATTAATTAGCGTTTCGCAGATCCTAAAAATAGAAAACAATTCCCGGGGAACAAGCCCCCGGACCTCTAGTTGTTCTGTGTATTCGACGATTAGACCCACCACACACACGTTTGGGGCTGGCTACGCCTCTGATGTTTCTGTCTTTTTGCAACAACAACAAAAAAACATGCGCACAGGGATTCAACAACCCCCACACATGTATCGACAACATCGCATTTATCATGTACAATAAAATTTGTGTACATGGTATAAACAACAAAAACCCATGTTCTCTGCTGAATATCTACGTTTGTTATCTTTCAATGTATTTGATAATCTGCAGATAAGCTCCTTTTACGAATTCTATGGAAAACGTCATGTAGCATGTAATCTCCTTGTTAAGAGTCTCTTCACACAAAAACTTCTAAACTTGGCCTTATTTGACGTCATGGAAATTCGTCGAAGACCCTTGACGCATGTAAAGTGTTTTCAGGCACGTAGACTAAAGCAGTTCATAGGGTTCAAAACGGACGTCACCCTAAAATCGGTGTAACTATATTTGGCGACATTCGACGATGTCCTTGTTGACAAAAACGTCGCTTGCTAAAGCTCACTGACTTGGCGCTGGGACCGGCTAAACGGAGAGTTATGAAGTGGAGAGTTATCTCGGAGAGTTATGATTTCGGAGAGTTATGTTCGAACCACGCCCACTTTTCCCAACGACCACACCCAATTTCTTAACTCTCCCGATGTTTCCTTGAACTAACATGAGAGAGTTATGTTTGACGTAACTCTCTCTCTCTCGTTAACATTATGATTAGAGAGTTATCATTTTTTATAACTCACTGCGTTCACGATTGTGGCAATGAAGAGAGTTATGTCAGTTTTTTGAAAAAAACTTCCACATTTTAGTAAATTATTGTGAATTTACTTTTTTCTCAAGTATCAGTTTTAATATTCCACGCTAGTAGAAACCAGTAGTACTTTAGTACTTACCAAGTGAAGCGAGTACGAGTAAATAAATTATTATACATGCTCACTTGGATTACCTACAAAGCCCAACATTCAGATACAGCTCTCGTATTAGATAGAAACCAGAAAACCTTTCCAATGTAATGCCCTATATTGGCTGATATGGGAAAGTATTTGCAAAACCTGAATTTCTGAAAGATTCAATTTTCGCAATTTTTTCAATTTTCTTGCAACTATGCTTACCGTATTTACTGCCAAATACACGTCAAAACATGCTTCTGGGGGTACTTTGACCTTTCTGCGGCAAGCATCTCATTGTTTTGACCGAGTCAAGTTGTACTATTTCCTGTTTGGACGCACGCTATTGATGGCGCTACAAACTGAAATACCAAAATATAAGATGAAAATCTGAAGAAACAAGCTTTACTATTTAAAGGTTTTCTCAAAAAACTGACATAACTCTCTTTATTGCCACAATCGTGAACGCGGAGAGTTATAAAAAATGATAACTCTCTAACATTTTCATAATGTTAACGAGAGAGAGTTACGTCAAACATAACTCTCTCATATTACTTCAAGGAAACATCGGGAGAGTTACGAAATTGGGTGTGGTCATTGGGGAAAGTGGGCGTGGTTTGGGCGTGGTTCGAACATAACTCTCCGAAATCATAACTCTCCAGGACAACTCTCCGGTTGGTAACTCTCCCATACCCCCTCGGTGGCGCAATCGTCAGAGCAAGCGCCGCTTATCTCGTCTGAATCACTTCTCAGATCGTGGTTTCGATTCTCGGATCGTGGGTTCCGTTCGATTCTTGTTGCCGATACACGGGGCTTAATTTGTGAAAAGAGTCAGTCAACGCTCTACCGAAAGTGACTGGTTTACTCAGGGTACTCCGCTCCCGTTTCTTCCAACAGGGAATGTTGACAAGGTGGGTTGGGATTAGCCCCTAACTGACCCTTCTGCGGTAGTTGTACTCCGTGATCAGACGTACATCAGTCGTTCGCTGCCATGCAGAGGCGCCCTGGCCTAAATGAAAAGCCTTCGACTCCGTCAGGATGAGCTGTTCAATCGCAATTCACAACTTATTCGCAATTCAGCTGCAAGTAAGGAATATAAGGATGATTATAGCACACCTTCACTTTACTATACTTTACTTTACATTACCCCGAGTTTTGAACCAACCTTGCTGTCATTATATATACGAGGAAACCGAAACCCCGCGCGAAAACCTTTCGGATTCCAAAACTTTTCTCAAGCTCAGTCAAATTTCCTTTAAATTTTCACAGCAGACGCACGAGAACCAGGCCTGCTGCCGCCTGCAATGTGTGTGTGGTAGCTGCATATGTATATGATTTTATTGTATTTATTGGCTTCGAACACAAAACAACTTAGTTAGAAGAAAGCCTTAGAAAGAAAGTTATATATCACGAAAAGGACAAAGCTAACTATATGCCGCACACACTGTTATAAAGGACTAGATGATAATTATTTAGATCGAGAGATTTAATTTACAATTTGCTGTAGTTACATAAATACATAAGGTCATAGGCTAAAATATCGAAATATATGCAGGGTGTATAAAAAAATCCAATTTAACTTTGACATGTTATCGCGCATTAATTAATATGTCTACAGATTTTTTTTGTTTTTTTAAAGAGCAGGCTTTTAGCTTTCAAATGACACCTTTATGGAATGGTTGCGATAAAAAAACACCAAATGCGATCTGATTTAAAGTGATCGGCTGAATTCGTATTTTTCTACGGTTGGGATTTAAATGTTCTTCCAATATTCGAACATTTGCCTAAATGTTTGTTGCCCATTTGGCGGAAAACGTATTCCGCCAGTGTGAGACTGCATGTGTCCAGTCTGCAAGCTTCCAGTGTTGTAAAATGTTTAGTCACTCAATTTCGATGTAAAATGGCGATTAAAAGTTTATCAAACCTTGATGCTTACACATGTATTGCGCCATATTTTCTCAAGGGAAGTCAACGTCAGCTAGGACGTCAGGGCTAAGCAGAGGACTGGGACTATGATGTCGTCTTAAATAAGTAGACTCCTCAATATCAACGACGTCAAATATTTAGGGCGGCAAGCGGATAAATTGGTAATAGTTTTTTAAGTGTGCATGAGTCTCTCTCAATTTGCTCGTCGTCCACCAAACGTCGACAACCTCACAACAAGAGTTTTACCGTCGTGGATACAAGAGCATATATAGCAAACGGTAATGAATTCATGTGTCTCTTTAAAATTCATTTTCAAAAGAATGTAGATATTTATAGTTTAAATGTCGACGTCGTGAATCTTAAGTGGAAGTTTATTTATTTAGGACGACGTCCTAGTCCCAGTCCTTTGCTTAGCCCTGACGTCCTAGCTGACGTCAACGTCGTA